AATTTAAAATAGTTTAGTACTTCATCAATGAATTTCCAAGATACAGAATCGAAAGCTTTCTCAAAATCGATAATCAATAGCATCCCTGGTATATCATTTCTCTCTGCGTAATCCACAATATCATATATCAACCTTGTGTTTTCTCCCACATATCGCCCAGAAATAAAACCTGTCTGATCTGGATCAATTAATTTATCTAACACTGCTTTTATTCTACTTGCTATACAGCCTGATGCAATTTTATAAGTTACATTTAAGAGGGATATTGGTCTCCAGTTCTTCAAACATTGTCTAGGTTTTTCTCCTTTAGGTAAACATATTATGATTCCTTGTCTTTGGGTAACAGATAATTGTCCTTTTATATAACCAAAATTGATAGACCGTACTTTAAAGTTACTTTACTGTTTCCAAAAGCATTTAAAAAATTCTACTGTAAAACCGTCTGAGCCTGGACTTTTGTTATTTTTCATATTTCTCATAATTAGTGCTGCTTCCTGTACAGTAATTTTGCCCTCTAAACTTAATGCTTCTGACCTATTCAGCCTTGGAATTTCACAATCTACTAAAAATTCTTCTAAATTAGCTTCTTCTATTTCATCATCTATAGTATATAATTTTTCATAGAATAGTTGAACTTCACTTAGAATTTCTTCTTGTTTCGATATTATATCACCATTGTCTTTTTCTATCTTTGGGATTATTTTTGAGGTGTAATTTCTATTTTCTAAGTTAAAAAAATACTTAGTAGGTTTCTCCCCTTCTTCCACCCATTTTACTTTGGACCTGATAATACTACCTTTCAATCTTTTTAGTCTGATTTTTTCCAATTCTTGTTTCTTCTCATTTAATTCAATGAAATCAATATTTTCACTGTCTTCTAAATTTTTAATTGTATCTATAAGTTTTTTTTCTGTTAAATTTTGTTGCTTTTTTTTATAAGAAGAGTATGAAATGGTTTTACCTCTAATTTCCATTAGGAGAGTTTCTAAAAACAACTGGTCATTTATTTGAAACATAATTTCTGAGTCATGAATTATATTTATATTATTTAGGTTGTATATTGGAAGTGCATATTGTATTTTGACATCTATGATAGTTTTCTTGACAATTTCAAGATAATCTATTTCATGTAAAAGAGAAGAATTAAATTTCCATAGCCCTTTACCTTTTTTGAATTCATTAAAAATTAAAGAGATTATTGGCATTGAATGATCAGACCTATATCCTGGATCGATAGTAGAGTTATGTACACTTGGTAATAAATTTTCTGATATGAGAAAAAAGTCTAAACGTGCCTGTTTGGTAGGATTACATCTTCTCCAAGTATATCTTTTTTGCTCAGGATGTTGTTCTCTATAAATATCTACCATTCCAAAATCTGCAACTATTTCATTTAGTTTGTCTCTAGCTTTTGGGTTGTTAATATGTTTATAACTTTTATCATAGTCTTTTTCAGTATTAAGCACTAAATTAAAATCTCCACATATTATAAAATATTCATTATTAAAATCACTAATAGTTTTTATCATACATTCTTAATCTGATAATTTCTAATATTTTCGAAGACCAGGGATCAAACAAGTGAAATCTGACAGATCATATGCACATGTATAAGATTTTCAGATAAAAAAGTAATAAAATGTCTATCCGCTGATCTGAAGTACCCAAATTTGAATTCATATTTGTGGGAAACATTCTGTGAACTGAAGAGCTACTAATGACATCGTATTTTTCGTATATATACTGAGGACGATATTGTCAGATGCTTGAGTCCCTCAATGACAATATCTTTGTTGAGTTCATACTGTACAACAGGCTGTAGGCAATTCTATGGGAACAAGCTGCCCATCTTCTGACCAATTTGTTTTTGTTTATCAGAACTGGTAACACAAAAGATAGACTAGTCCTTTAATTTCGCATTCAGAAAATTGACGATGTGTTGTCTTGAATAACACGATTTACTGACAACGTCAATCGTATATACCCTTACGAGCATGAAATCAAGGACATTATAGACTCTTCTACTTCAGCCGCTTTCCTTTATCTTTCCTTACAACAGAATGCAAGACGATTTCGGCTTCCGATCATGAACTTTCTCTTTACTTGATTGTAACACCATCGCTTCCTCTTCCTCTGTGTTTACATGTTGCGGTTGTTTCGGTACCCAAGTTGTTGCCTAGGATATCATGACTTCCATACTTGCATTACAAAGTTTACAAAGACGCAGGTTGATAAATACTAAGGAAATATGCTACTTCTTTGTGTGACATGAATATCGAGTACTTGTGGTTTTGTTATCACAACACGAATTATCGATTTGAAGATATGAAGATAACTTTGGTTTGAAATAGATTTACATGGCGGGTGTCGTCGATGAGGCAGAATCCGCTTATCCCCAGAGGAACACCTGGTCTTATTATCCGTTTTCTTTTGCAAGGGTCTCCATGTAGATCTTTCCTTTGTTGATATTTTGTCCTTGTTTTATCGATTTTGAGCTCAAGTTATGGTTTTTGTTGACACATTAGCATTATCTTCTTTTTCAAGAAGAGATAATGATAAAGGCTAATATTTATTGACAATTTTTTTCATACGATAAATTATATCAATACACGATTAATACGGTTGAAAAAGAAGCACTGTTCAATTGTGTGATATTATTAGGTAAATAAGTTATTAAAATAATGGTATACCTTCACATTTTTTATATTTTAGATTATGATGGTAATCAGCCCCCCACCCCCTCACACTTCTTGCCTATTGTCTTAAGATTTTCTATTGTTTTAGTAGGACAGAAAGAAGAATACCAGTATATATTAGTGCGATGCTGCATTTGAGTAGTAATTGTTTATATTTTCAAAGTTGTAAATGAACAAATTGTAAAATATTGATTGGTGACAGTTTTGTCTTTGGTAAATTGTTTCAGATTTAAATTTGCGACAGTTGTGAATTTCTAACAGCTTTATTGATGACAATGGTAACAGAATGACAGTTGTTATTTTAACAGTTGCGGTGGTAACCTGTTAGTTAACATTGGGCCAACGTCTGATGGGACTATTCCCCCGGTGTTTGAGGAGCGACTCCTACAGATGGGACAATGGCTTGGAGTCAATGCTGATGCTATATACGACAGTAAACCCTGGCACTACCAGAATGATACCCACACCCCGGGGGTTTGGTAAGTTTTGAATTAGTAAAACATCAATGATGATTAAAAACTGATAGCCAATTAGATTGGATTTGTAATTTTCTGTTTTTCTCTTTGTGATAGGTATACTGCTAAGAAGATCAGTATGGTAACCATTGTTTACGCCTTCACTCAGAAGCTTCCGGAGTCAGGATACCTGTATCTCGGAGCCCCAATCCCCGGGGACCCTTCCTTCTGTCAGGTTACCCTCCAGGGAACAGTGTACACCTTCCCATGGACCACTGGGCCCCAGGGTGGTATGAACATCACAGTGTCTAACGTCACAAACGCCACGCCCTACTCCTGGGGCTGGGTCTTCTCTCTGTACGGACTGAAAAACCAGTAATGGTACAATATTTACACTGCGCTGAAAAGTATCAACGTTCTATTTTCTGATATCTATCTACGCTGATATTATTTACTGCGTCGTAAATCATGGATATAACGCTCGTCTGTCTGTCGTCAGCGTGCTGTCCGTCTCACCGTTCGACATGGCTTCCGGGAAAATATTTAAAGCAAAGAGACAAAAAGAAAAGTAGCCTTGTCTAACTCAATAAGGTATCAAGTACTGTGCAGAAAAAAAACACCTGTAATTTGTTATTCCTCTCTATGATAATGTCTGATGTGCACATGCTAAACTGCTAGCTGTTTAATGACGATACCTTATTGCAATCAATATCTGCCCTGCACGTGCCATATCTGCCTGTATGTAGCATATTCATTCTACCTCCAGTTTAACACATTCCCAAAGAAGCTGCTCCAACATTCTCAAAAGTTTGAGCTATTGTTAATGAGTTGACGTTACTTATACATGTAAGTATTGACATTGTGTGGTGTATGATAAAAAGGTTATACTATGGATGTTTCCATAATCTACCTCGTGTCAAACAGATACCTCAACATTCGTCATTGTGTATTAATTCAATTGTTTTCATGGCATTTTGACAATCATTCAGGATATTTTTATTAAGTGTTGTATTCAGTCAGCAGTATTTTCTTTTCTGCGCAATGTTTGTCTTTTTTCGCTGCATAACAGGTTTTCTTTAGGGTCAACGATGTCAATGTGGTTTTCCTTTGTTGGAGATTCTGACGACTATCTCTTATTTATAATCGACAGCAAGTCAACATTTTACACATAAAGGTAATACAGAACTACTCGAAAACAGACGTAAACGACAGGTATACAGGATAGGCATGACATCAGACAGAATCAAGAAACAAAACACATATTAAAAAAAGGAACATTTCTGACTGTTACAATTAGCGTATCATGCAATGTACCAAATTTTGGTTTCCCCACTGTTCCCGGAACAGGCGATACAAAAGAAATACCTGATTATACATGGACCCCACGAGACCTGAGCTGAACAGAACAACACAATCTGTCAGAGGCATTATATCATGTTTTTTTTGCGTTTAGATCAACGCCTGACAAATCTGACGACACCTCATATTGTGAATATACTAGAGAACGGATTTTTTCGAAATAGAAAATGAGTGTAAATATTAAGTGTATGGTATATCATCTTACTAGTATTGTTAAATTAACAGACCATCTACAATGCGCTTTTATCGCTGCTTGGGTCACTTGGCGACGGTAGTTTGTGTAGATGTTGTTTCGGCAAGGCGAGTGATTTAAACTCATCTATTTCGTAACATTTTCTGAACTTCATTTGAAAACATCAACATTCAAAAGTAAGGGGGTACTCCTTATCATATATGTGTTGGTGGGTTGACTTTTTGTATATTTAAACAATTCTCCGTTGATATTAAAACTATTTCTTCTTTCCGTTTCTACTTTGTGTTTCTTATGGGTACTCTTTTATGGTCTTTTAAACGCAAATTGAGGAGATGACAGTTACATATATCTGGGAATCTCATAGAATTAAATTACATGTAATGTAGCAGGGTGGAAAAAACCAAATCAAAACGTTGGTCTCTTCAAATGGTTGTTGCTTTATTATAACATCTTAAGATACCCTACAAAAAACAAAGACATACATTTATACTCTTGCACACTAAATCAAGGGGCACAACTCTCTCACATTACAGACAACGAGTTAGCACTTTTAAATTTCTTACCAAATAAGAAGTATAGGAAATCTTTACATACAGCCACATTTATATAGTTTTACATTACTTATATATCACTGTTAAATACTTTGATTGTATCAATACCATAAATTACACCGCTGACCAAGGATTGCATTAACGTGACTTTCCTTATTCATAAATATAAAATACACAGATCTACATGTGTATAGACTCTAGACTCTAGAATTCATGAACTCATAAACTCACCCTACATATGGTGTAGAGGTATATAGACAGAATTCTCTACGTTATGGTTATCTCAATCTATCGTCTCACATCAATAAAATACAAAAACCTATTGAACACATTTGTCAATAATAAAAATTGAAAATGCTAATTGGCAACTTTGTAGACGTACAGATTCTACACTTAACACATACTAATCCTTGAGAACAATAGCATTACATTATATTTAAAAACATACATTTACTTCATAGCAATTTATTGTTAAACATTTATAAACCCAACAATATACTACATACAATTACTACAACGATAATGATATACTAATAAAATAAACTTACCACCCAATCTACTCCTGATGTGATCCTTCCTTGCTCTCCAAAATCCAAATCTCTTCTGCCTAACAAAGAACTAAGTACCTACATAAAATTTCCATCTCCAGATGTTATCCAGCCAATCAAATTGTCTTAGTCAAGTTATGTCAAAGGTATATGTATGAATTTTATTATTAACACATGAATCTTCCATATATGGTAAGATTGCATTTATAAAACATACAGGTGAGTTCAACTCACTGTTTCAAGCACATAGACACGTACCTGGTATTCTGATATATATATCAATCTACCCAACTAATACTCATACAAACTATAAATACAAATAAAACACATTAATACATATATCTGATACATGCCGGACAAAATAAAAAATCATTATTAGATAAATAATCCCATTCTGACCCATGTCATGTCCTAATAAATATTATAAAACAATAAAATATAAATAATACCCTGTCACAGTAACATTGATTATATAATATGGTAGTAAAATATGAAATAATTTGCTATGTGTCTTCCGAGATTTCACTCCACTAACGTCCTAAATATACAAATGGAAATAAGTTTTCACTGTATTACGGTATTATATAATGGTTTTGTCTCCTACCAATGTTTTATTGAACAAAATATCGTCTGCATAACGCATATATTGTCTCTGTTTAGTGCTTAGATGGGACTATGCACTGCAGATTAACGCCGGGTTTATTGTAATAACACAAATGCCTTTATAAACCGTGAACATATTTGATGCTGCCGAAGACAAATCATTACTGCAACACGCCATTGAAATGACATCGAGTCGAGGTATACACATAAATACTCGGTCAATGTCTTGTATATGTTCCTCAAATGAAACATTTTTCAGTTTTTATTTTTCAATGTACTCTCGTTTGACTCTAGGGTGAAATACATTGTCAGTATTAGACATTCATTTACCCTTATTTTGGTCGTTAGGTTAAATCAAATGATCTTATTCCTCCTGATCGCACGAAAAGCTAAAGGAATGATGTTGTCAACAACTGTTATCTATATGAGACACCAATGCTGTGTATCAATCGTGTTTCGTGAACTCTTATATACACATAAATAATGTACAGCAACTTGATTTATCTCTTGAAATATGAATAACAGACGAGACTTGTACTTTTAAATTTTCGTTATATATCCTCTTTTTTGTGTGTTATAATCAGTTGTTGCTGTTACATATGCGTCAATTACTTGAGTAGGTGGTGAAGTTTCGAAACGACTTAAATAGAAACTGATTGGGGATCCCTGTCAGCTAAATGTGGAGCATGGAAAATTCCTTAAAATCTTACCACACTTTGTAACTTGTATATGTACATGCAGTACAATATGAAGCAAACTATGAATTTCGATAGACAAATACGTTGTGTCAGGTTTGGGTTGTACGGCCATATAAACGACAGCTTGTTCACGGCCATATCTGCTAATGTGAGTGTTTGTATTTTTAGCAGAATATGTTTAACCTATATAGGTTTTATATATTTTAAAACGGTAAAACTAAGAAGAGTGAGTAGCAGTAGTTCATGCCTAAATTACACTACATGCGACGCGCCTGCCCCTCTCACATATCACTCACAGGGATTTCTTTCTCGGAACATGACAAATACAATTTGAACTTTGAACATCTGGACAAAAGTAGCGAACATGTTTGATATCAACATCATTGTGCACGCAGACATGACCCCTACAATACGTAACAGTCACGAAGCAAAGCACATACAATGTACCAGCGTGTGTAATAATCATGGCCTCTTACATCACACACTAAAAGTGTTTGTACATCAGTAAATGTGGCACATATCCCCGTACGTAACTAACAGTAAGTTTAACACATGCCCTTCACACATCACAAGACGGAAGTTAACGCGAACCATTACGTATCACACAGATTACTTCTCCGTACAGAACAGAGTATAACATACACCGTTACGAATGATAAATGTCCCCTTTATTCATCCTAAACCAGAACGTTACACACCTTACTATTTGAGAGGCATCGCCTCTCCATGTATTAAACACGTACGTGTGTATGACACGCATCATCCGCACATCAAAAACAGAAGTTAATACAAATATTTATTTTTGCACAAATGACCCCCTTCTTACATCACAAAACGGAAGTGAATACACGTTATTATGTATGTATACATGTTAATAAACCTAATTTAGGTGCACAAATTTGGTCACACGGCTAATTTGTTATCATTCTGCGATTGGGAAATTATCGGAGAAGATAATTTATCATGACACTTGCGGTTAGTTTTGAAATGGATAAATTAATTACATTATTGAATTCATTGCAACATCACCATTTGTAACGGACGGCAGCATTGTTTATCCAAACTCAGTATCGTATCGCCTTTATTTACAACAACTGCACATCAAGCATGTATGATGCAACCGAGCACCAATCTCACGTAAACAGCTAACCTTACAATCCCTCATCCCCTCTATTTTTGTATTCTATATATAGTATTTTGTAATCATGGGAAACCTTTATCTCCCCCGCGTATTTCTCGGGTAAATGTCACCTTGCTGTCTTGGGGATCCCTGATGGCTAATATAGAATATTTGGGATTAACACTTCGCTTATATAAAACAAAATTGCACAAAACAACATATTCAAAGTATCTCACCCTGAAAGACTCGTTCGTCGCTATCCGACAAATATTTGTTATGACGACTGTCTAGCTAAACGTAAGTCTTGCCGAAGTGCGTTCAATTTATGCAGATTTCGATGCACAGCTCGCATTTTTGATGAATGCTGTTGAATATATATATCTCATTGCCTGTACACAGGTGTGATGCATGTTTATGTATTGTTATTTAAGATTTAGTCTGATTTGAACGTCCTCGTAACAAATGGGGAGAGAATGTCTAGGGAGACAAAGATAAATGAAAGCAGGAGATAAAAGAAAAGATAACAATGCTGTATTTTTATGGTAAAATCTAATCAATTTTGGTCTCTTCAGTATCTTATTAGACGGCATCCAGACAAACTATTTTTTCTGCAGGCTCCCCGATATATATTATTTTATACGGTCTAAAAAAGGGAACGGTAGGTCTATTATTTACCGAACCTTCGAAGCTTGTATGTAACTCTTCTAAAATTTACGTTCGGGGAAACAAAATGTCTGCTGTATCCGTCTACAACACGTAAAAGGCGGTTATTGTGGTAATAAAAGGTAATAAATATCAGTAAATATCAGTAAAGTTTAACTGATAGGCCTTTTAAAAGCATGTACTTTCGCATTAACTACTTGTCTTACGCAAACACATCTAACCTCACGACCTCATTTCCCTTTAATGTCATATGAATACCACTTTGTAATCTTGGGTATTCCCGATCGTTCCCACTAACGTGCACCTTCGTAGAAATAGCACTTGGGCATCTTAGGGATTCCTGAATGCTAAATATAGAATACAAAACATTACATATTACCTGTACAGGCAAAATTACCGGGCGTGGCTCCCACAGAGCCTCTCATTATTAGTTACTAGTTTGTCGCTGTCACAGGTTTTTGTAATGCTGGCTGCCTAGCTAAAGGTAAGACTCGACATGTGTAGACTGTGTGCAATTTACCTCTGAAGGGTTAATATTGTAAATATGGACATTTCTTTGCAATGATCGTGAGTTTGGGTAATGCTAATAAGTTTATCTTCAAATCGAAAGTAATGTTTACGCAAATGCCTTTACCTTTACACGTATGTGATACATATGGTTAATGTTGCATGTTCTATGTGTCTTAACATCCCATAGGGCTAAACATAGAAATTTAATTGGGGATCCCTGTTTCTTAACAGCCCAGTATAAGCTGTGTAACTCCTGAAAGAAGTGCGTCCAGGACAACGTAGGGTGAATCGTAATGCGAATTATACACAAACACAATGTTTTACGCTGTGAGCATATTCATTATTCACAGCTATGGCTTCTACTATTGGTACATGAAATGTTCAATATAATGTTTTAGGCTTTATTTGTATTTTTGTTCATACTTTTTATTATAACACCAAGACGTACATTCAATACAATTAACCTATCTTCACAATCATCTTAGAGATTTCTTATCTTTCCCACTTAACTTACATTTATATAAATTAAACTTGATCATCTTGGAGATTCGTGAAGACAAAATATAGAATACAAGATATTACATATTGCATATTCAAAGCGAAATTACCAGGAATGACTTTAACACCATTATTTACTATTTCGTCACTGGCCGACAAATATTTGTTATGACGCGTGCCTACCTACAAGTAAGTGTGGCCGATGTGTCATCATCTTGGGATTCCGGATCAATCCCACCTTCATTCGTATAAATAAAACTTGGAGATACCTGATAAGTTAATGCAGACTTGAGGATAATACATTGGTTATATAAAGTCAAATCACCAGGAATAACTCTTACATAGCCTCTCATTATTAGTCACTGGCTATTCATTGTCCGACAAATATTTGCTATGTCGACGGCCTACAAAGGTTGTATGTTACCTTTCTATAATTAACGTAATGCAACACCTAGATCTGATAATGTTGCATGTGTCCTAACATTCTAGAGGGCTAAAATGAATTGGGGGATCCCTTAAAATCTGGATTAACGACGTAACTCTTACAGGCCATTCTTTCAGGTCAGCGTTAGACAAGAAACAATGCGAATTATTGACAAACATAATGGTTTAGGTTGTGTGCAGAATTGATTAAACGGACGTGTAAACGAACGGGTTGTTGACTACCATGATTTCTATTATTGGAGTTTGAAATTGTAAATACATTGCGATATCGACACGATTTGATGCCGACGACTCGTTACAGATGCCGGTAGTATTATTCAGAAAACCGTATTGAAAAACCCACCTAGAATCACATCGCTCATTAATATATCTAACGGTTATACATATAAGTAGAGTTTAACTGATAAGGGCTTATAAAAAGCATGTTCGTGATCATTGAGTACTTGCCGCACGCTAACTTATCTAACCTTACGATCTTTTACCCACGTAATGTCGTTTATGTATTTTCTTGATAATTGACCTCTCACCCCTCCCTTACCTCCGCGTTAATAAGACTGTGTCATTTTGGGGATTCCTGAAAGCTTAATATAGAACAATAGGGATTCCCATTTCACTTATATAAAACAACCTGGTAATAATTCATGACTACGACGACCGCCTGGCTATAGGTAAGTCGGACATGTAAGCTGTGGGCATTTTATTCGATACACAGATCTGACTCTGATAGCTTCTGTTGAATGTTTCGTCTCACCGAGAGTAATGTCTATACAAACCTAGAACTGTAACTGCTACCTGTTAAACCTTGATTTGTGACAGTTGATTCATATTCAAAATTAATAGCATGTAGTTGTTATAGGGTGTCATTGATTAATTGTGTCTCACACATTGTTACTTGTGAACAAGAAATAAGGAAACAAATTAAAAATCACTGTATAATTTTTATGTTAAAACTTAACATGAATGACCTTATTCATGTGTATACAAACTAACATAGTTGCACAAACATAGCAATTACTGATAACTGCAACTAATCGAACAATTATTCAAACATAGTACATCGTATCATGAATATGAAAATAATCTTATTGTGATATGTATTCATTAAGTACGACTATCAAAGCTAGAAAAACAATGACACTATATATATGTGTGAGTGCGATTGAGCTTGCATACATGTACACGCGTAGTAAAAACACACATGTCGGTATATAGATGTAACAGGATGTAGTACTTGAATGTAAACACAACGTTACACTCATGGGCGATAACATGTTTGACTTAATAACCACCACGGTAGATCTTTCATCACTGTTGCTCTTTCAAATATAATTAATAAAGTGTCTGGTTAGAATTGTTGTTATCGACATGCTGTATCTTTTTACGAAAATGTGTAGGTGCAATGTTGGTATCAATATAAAGAACATCTTGGGAATTTCACGCCACTGTGTAAAACATCTTGGGAATTCCACTCCACCTAAATATAATTTACATATAAAACAAAAGCGTATATCTATCCATGCATATATATAAAATGTCAGTGATTGAAATAACATCACACTACATCCTGTTCTGATGAATAACACACACACACAGACACACACACAGCGGAATATGAAACAGCCTGCGGGAAAACGTAAGGTAAGGAAGCAACGGGACGTGAAATGTAGTAGGTAGTTCTCCAAAACAGAGATTGTACTTTCGCCTGGGAAATATCACGTGATTGTCGAGTCAAACGTGCCACTTTACAATCGTTTGACACATGACTTTATTTACAGCAAATTAAATGGAAAAGTGCTACTCATTTAAATCTAAATACTTCTCAAGGATTATACAAGCATGCTAGGTAACCTTAGTCAGATAATGAGGTTTGACTAAGTTGTTAAGCTAACACTATCGTCTTAGTGTTTTTAAAGCATGTGAAAAATCACTTGCTTCTAACCTAGGATCATATTATGTTCAGTGAAGAAAGAGTAGACATTGGCAGCCTGAATTTAATTGATATACAACAATAACATAGTCTATTAATAGACACACCACGTGGTTATTTACTTTTACCAACGCTTTATGTTTTTTACAGTGGTGGAGAATGGCGGACACTGACAGAGATTTGTCTGCACCTGGGAGCCAATGCGTCTGTCAACAAATCGATGTCTATAACCTCAGACGCTACGTAAACAGCGAAAACAAGTTGATCGGTACGTTTTGTACTAAATGTAAGACAGAGAATCTAACAAAGGAATATGTAGTGCGCGTCAAAGACGATGAGGATACAAAGGAGTATGGTGAAATGCAAGAGATGATATCAAGGCCTCTCCCAAACCTTAGTGAGATCAAGGCATTCCAAGTTCGAAGTTCCAAAACAAAAGTTGACCTGACACATTTTGCTGACATACTTAAGCCAGGCGACCAAATCTCCTGGCACAGACGGTACTTCTTCTGGCACCACGCCATTGTCTCAGAAGTTATTGCTGAGACGAGCGAGTTAATGCTGATTCACTGGAACAAGGAGGACGGCCGCATCAAAATCATCCGTAGCCGTTACAACGTGGACCCGAATGAAAATAAACTGTTTAACAAGATGTACCGTATTGACTATTCAGAGGAAATTACAAAGGCCAATGACCAAGAACTGGTGTTGGCGAGAGCACGGTCCAGGATCGGTGATACGGGGTATTTTCCCTTCACTGACGACTGTGAAACTTTTGCAACTTATTGCAAAACGGGCGTTGAAAAGTCACACCAGCTAGCTTGGCTTAAAGGAAAATGTAAAGAGATCGTCGGACAAAATATCATTCTGGCTGCCAAGTCAATTACCAAAGGCACATGCTTAATTGTACAACATACAGTTTCTGTCGCGAAACAAATCATACCAAGTGTAATACAAGATACGTCTATGGCTGCTGGGAAAATCTTCTCAGCAGAAGGAATCGAACACGCTATGAAAGGAAGTAACTTTGTTGGTGCTGGAATTGTGATAGTACTAGAAGCAGGATTTGTTACTTGGGATTTGAATCAGGCGTACAAAGAGAGAAAAAAGGGAAATACATCCAGGAACGATTTCATCGAAACTGCCATCCGACGGTTAGTGGAGGGTGTGTTGAGTGCTGGGTTGTCTATTCTATGCTCCCTAGGTCCGGAACTCATCGGGATCGCTGTGGGATCACCACTAGGTCCGGTGGGTATCATCATTGGTGGTATCGTAGGAGGGATCATAGGCGGTGTAGTGGGAAAAATGGCTGGCACTGCCCTTGGAAGTGTGCTCGGCAAGGCGATTTCCTCCACATTCAAAGCCGATGATAGAGCGGTGACCAGTATCGCCGACCTAAAATATGGTGATCACATAGTAGGTTATGGCTGGGTACTACATCCGCGCTGCCACGCCATCGTGGTGGATCACAACGGGGTTGACAAAATCAAAGTGATCCGTAACAGTTATAAACGTGGTGTTGTGGAAGAGTGTATACCGTTCTCGAAGCCGCTGTTCAAGGTTGAGTACCAACAGGGAACATGCAAAGATCCGGAGAAAGTCGTGGAAATGGCTAGGTCGAAACTAGGGGAAAATCAGTATAGTCTGGCTATCTACAACTGTAAAACGTTTGCGAGGCAGTGCAAGTCCAGCTTACATGTAGAACCGGAAGAGGAGCCATGGCAACTGATAGAGTACGATGACATACCCGATGAGGCACTGCAACAGCCTTGTGGCACGGGGAATATCAGTCCCCAGTGAGATAGATTTATCGTGATTAAGGTAAAGAGTGATTAAATCAGGGAGTATAGGACCAACAATTAAAAAAACAAAACAGTATGAACTTTTTTCCCCGTGGTTCATTTGTAACAGTATTTTTTTATTTAAAGCAAAACCTTTTAAAGACTGTATTCCATTAACATTATCACTTGTTGTCTCCCTTTTACTGTCTTCACTGCTTGGTTTGAATCAAAGGCTCATTGAGTTAGACTTATCTGTTACAGGCGGACTTAGAAAAACTGCATTTATATGTAAAGTGGTTTCATTTCAAGTTTCGTGAAGAAAAATGGAAATATAATATAATATTGTTTTAAATTTACATTATTGTCTCTATCATCTAAAAGATAATGACCAATGTACATTTGTATACATATATTCCTGATATTGATGAACGTGATCATTTTATATTTTTTCAAGTTTCATAGTAATTAAATGTACATTTTTATTATCTGGTTGTAGATTTTTGAAATAAAATTATTGTTTGAACTAATACGAATATCTCCATAATTTGTTGATGTATAACTTTGTAACGTTGACCTGGTCTTAGAGAGGAGACATTTCGCCTTGGATAATATAATGCATTTGAAATAAGTATAAACTTAAATGTTAGAAAATGGGTTACATGTACATGTACGTGCATTACATACATGAACTGTTCCTTTCTTAAAGCAAGACCAGACTAATTCGAGACTGGAAGGGAAATTTTATTGACATAGTTGCTAAAAGGGTAACTTGAACAGACCGGTATAGATATTTGATTGGACGGATTATATTGGAGATTTGATTGGACAGACTTGCATTCGGATCTGTTAGTTATACCTTGTCTACTAAGTGTTTCATTGTTCTGATGTATTTCTGTTTGATTCGTTGGACATTGCACAATGCATCTTATTCAATCTTGCCAAAACAATTTGTAAGCCTTTAGCAGGAACTAAAGCTCTTAAATGTCGACATTATAAGTTATTTCCTTAAAAGGAAATTTATAAAATAGCCAAACACTGTCGGTTGTGGCTTATACTATTGTTAGCACTCTAAGGTCGCTTGAAGTATGCAGTTTGTTTTTGGTATCTAGGAAGGAATTCAACATAGTCGATTTTAAACTAGATTGTCTTATAATGAATTCCCGTATCCTCTACTTAGAGGTATCAGGTATAATAGGTAGACGGTTTTAAAACCTCCAAATTATCTCAAATTTTCAAGATTATCCTTTATGTTACTCTCATATTAAATAATGGTGCAAAACAGTTTTGTTCCCGTGAGATCTCAAGATATGAGTCCACTTTTTTGTCACTAATGCTCGGGTTTCGTTCGTTCACCTTCGAGAAGAGCATATGCACAGCTCGACAAAACTCACTGCGAGATCAGACAAATGACATTTCAGATATACTTGACGAAATTATGATCAATGATAAAATACAACCGTCTTCACATATGATAAACGGACTACGATAAACTAAATTCCTCAAACGAAATGTATATTTATTTTCTGTTCTCTTTACTCTGAACACGAAAAACTAATAAACATGTATCAATTCAAATCGAGGATAGTTAGACTAAGTCACCATCAATCTTCTTGAAACATTTCGAAAATTATCCAGGCATAGTGAAGAGAGAGTGGCCTTCCGACCGATTAATTTTGGTGAGATATATCTCTTTTATGGTACAATCAAATATTGGTTTCATTAAAATAACAGTTCTTTGGTTTTTTTTCATTAATGGTACAATAGCAAGTCACTTTTTACAAGCATACTCGAAATTATGAACAAATTTCTCCTCAAACAGCACATGATCATCATCTTGCATAGATAATAAGATAGCAATCACTTAGTATACTATGAATAGAAAAGCTGCACATACAAAGAGGGACAACTCTTTAAAGTTTTGAAACAAAATGTATTCTCGAATTGTAATAACCTCTTTTAATTATTTTTGTAGATACGTGTGCTCGCGCTATTTCGACAATCCACTTACATGTTTATAAAAAAGACATTCTTTCGAAATATAAACTGTTCACGATAGTATATGCGTATGATAACTTTATCTGTTTATTATAACGGTTATGATGGGGAAAAAACACATGCGATAAACAAGGAACAAAATTGTTGACTTATTTGAGTTTGTCAGCGACATCAATTTTAAGCATTTAGCATGTGGATAGTGAAAAGTGCATATATTTGATACGTTAGGCACACCGTAGATTTTTTTTTTCTTATTATATTATGTCCAACATATTGTTTACAAAGCTTTCATAGTCTGAACAATACCGACTTACATCTTAACTTTTGACGGCATATATGTCAATTTTCATCTAAATTCTTTTGGTTTACCATTATAACTCTATAAGGGGCATCAATGACTTTGACCGAAAGTGTCTGACAAAATCGCTTGTTTGTTCTGAATGCCTTCAAGATGTCATCAATGTCAACAATGTACACATGATTGTTAATGTGGTCCCTTTCAGGAATCTGATATAATTAATCCAGAAACTTATGGATCATATACAAATTGACAGGTTAACGAATAGTGTTTTTACCTTTGATAGGCATTCGCCAGAAATATAAGTGGGGAAAACGCTATGCCACTAGACCGGAAGTCGTGGGAATACCGGAGAGATATGGATCTATCAGACGTGCTCACTTTACAGGAACTCATTGCTACACTAGCGGAGACTGTTAGGTACGGTATTGGTAACGTAAGCTGTATCAGGAATCGATGAGCATTGGGCAAAGTAAAGCTGTCAGCATATGGAGGTCTATGAAAAATGAACATTTTTTTCTTATAGTGAGTGGTGCCATACCAAGTCCTTCCAGTCCTGAAATAGGCAACACATAGGAGTAAAATACTGGGTTGATAGAGAGACTTATAAACAAGAAAACTAAAAGGTGCATCTTTAGAAGCTCATACATTTGAACTAAATATGGTGGTAGGATGCATCATCAAAGAAAGGTAACTCTGACGCTCTAAACAATAACTTATCAACACATGCATACGGAGAAGTGACTCACTCCTCTAGAATAGTGTCAGTACTTACATATAGTTATTTAGGGGGTAATCATTAAATTGCTTCTCTTGTAATAAATAAATTTGGACGTAATTTTATATATGATATTCCATAATTTGATATTTTCTCCCCAAGACCATACAATACAATTCAGTTGCTCAGTTATTTCATTATTTGAAAGAATAAACTTCCTTACATTGAATCTCTCTGACTCAAAATAAGAGCTCACCAAGTTATTATAGGGATGTATAGAAGGAGAAAACATAAATTGCTTCTGCAATAGTGTAAGGAATATATTTTAAATGTGGTTAAAAACATCCTTTTCACAGGATTTTGTATAAACGATGGGTCTGACACCCCTGGGGGCAGAGAGGCAAGGCCCATTAAGGGACATAGAGGAATAGCTTTAATATCCTTTTTTCTGTCGGNCCCCCCCCCCCCGGGGCCTGAGGGGTGGGCCTTATAAGGGTAATTTGACAAATTCTTCAAACTAGTTCTTCTTCTGTAGGAATGGCAGGATTTTGTCCATATTTTGGTCTTAAGCATCCTTTGGTGAAAGGGACTTAATTGTGTATAAATGGTGGGTCTGACCGGGTCAGAGTGGCGGGGCTCAATAGGGGAAACATAGCCAATTCTTCAAAATCCTTCTTCTGTAGGAATGACAGGACTTTTTTCGTACTTGGTCTTAAGCATCCTTGGATGAAAGGGATCTAATTTTGTATCAACTTATGTCTGAACCCCCACCCCCATGTGGGCTGAGGGGCGGGGCCAAGTAGGAGCAAATTCTTAAAAATCCTCATTTTCCTGTAGGAATGACAGGATTTTGTCTAATTGCATATACAAATATACATATATAAACTCTGTCTAACCATGTAATTCATGTACACTTCAAACAGCATCTGACTTTTTCAACTTCAATATTGCTAATATTTCCAGGTAAGCGATACAGGTCCTCTGGGCCTCTTGTTAATTTTAGATTATGATGGTGTTCATCCCCCCCCCCTCTTTTCTGTCGTCTTAAGATTCTTTATTATATAAGTGGGACAGTAAGAAGACTAACAGTATATATTAATGCAATGCTGAATTTAGTAGTAGTTATTTCAATGTGAAGGTGTCTCATGTATGAGAGTGTTGTATAGTTTTGAAAGTTGTACATCCTTAATAGATCTGAATGAACAAATTGTAAAATATGAATGGGTGAGAATTTTGTCTTTGGTAAACTGTTACAGTTTTAAATATATGACAGTTGTGCATTGGCAATAGCTGTATTGATAGCAATGGTATCAGAATGACAGTTGCTATTTTAACAGTTGCGGTGGTAACCTGTTAGTTAACATTGGGCCAACGTCTGATGGGACTATTCCCCCGGTGTTTGAGGAGCGACTCCTACAGATGGGACAATGGCTTGGAGTCAATGCTGATGCTATATACGACAATAAACCCTGGCACTACCAGAATGATACCACACCTCGAGGGTATGGTAAGTTCTGAATTGGTAAAGCATCAACGATTATTACGAACTGACATTTTTGAAAGTCAGGGCATAGTCTTTACATAATTTATGCATGCATCACCACTCATAAAAAAAACAATGGATAATCATGTATGTCGAAATCAACAATAATTGTCAAGACAACGAATCCGAGTTCAACGCTTTTTTTCAGCAACGTATCACTTTTTCAGAACGCATGCCGATTTATGACTAGTTACAGACAGAAACTGTTTAATTTTATTTGGCATCATTACCTGTAAAACCTCAGTGACAATTGCAAAATTTGAAATTCAATCCGATGTTTCAGGATGAAACAGAAATTCTAAATATCGATATAACGACAATCTCGGTTACATCAAAGTATTACAATGTTTTCTTTTTTAAATATAATTCTTTTAGCTAACATCTCTATACAATTACTTTTATAGACTTATCGACAAATATGTTATATGCACTTTTTTCAATAGCAATTACCAAACAGTTTCAGTCAATCTTTTTGTGACCTGACGGACGCACGCAGATGATTAAATATCCGGAGAAAACCCGCGTGGTCGGGCAGGTAACCGGGATTGAATCCGGTCATCTTGGTGAAAACGAGTGCGCTAACCATTGGGCCACCCGACCCCATCATATACTTACGCCACAGACTTAAATAGCATCTAGTCTAATTCCGTGGCTACGCACAAGAACAAATATCTACTTTAGCTTTGAAAATGGCATCATTAGAGTTTATGTTTTATTAATATCCCTCGATTAACCGACTTTAAATACATTTTATATTGCCTCATTCTGAAAGCAGTATTATCTCATTCTGAATCAGTAAATATCAGAGATCAACAAAAGCTTCGCTCTTTTAAGGCTTTGCCTTTTCATATTATATATATATATATGTTTTTTTGGTGTTAAATAAGAGTACTTACATGTACATGTATACATGAAACATGGAATACTTCTTTCAGTTGAGAAAGAATCAGAACCAAGGTACAGTGTACATTGATAGCGACTTAACTAACAGGTCCCTACGTTGTCTTTGTCAACACATGCATTCCTGATATTGATACCGGAATTGTTAGCGATATGCTGCTATTGCTCTATATAGAGTACTAGTTACTCCAGACCCAAGCTTAAATACAAATAGCATTGACTCCTCACATACTTTTATCTATTACTGTAGTTCTTTTTTAACTAATAATTTATAATTAAAATTAAAATTGCCCGACTTATCGACAGTCCACACAATTTCGTTCAATAGTTTGGACAGCGTATTGTCGCGTGCTGATTGGCAAACAAAGTAGTACTTTGACATTTTTAACAAACACTTCAATTTAATTCACAATTCAGTATCAATACAATTGCGTTTGATTTGTTTATAGGGTGATTTAAGTTGATCAATAGAAATCTGAGCTGAAAGTTAGATTTGAAATTGTTTCGATTTTCCCCCGGAACAAATTTCCCGCATGGGTAATTACAGTGAACACCGTGAATCCGACCTTGCCCTCCACGAGGGAGTTATTTTTGGAAGTTAATTCGAAAATTTTGTAAAGAATCCAGACGTGAAATTATTTGTTGATTGTATGGGAATCTGACTACAGTCGGAAAATTCTATAACACCCTCGTTATTTGACATGTCGTCAGAACCTCAAGAAAACGGTGGCTGCGAGACGCGTGAAACTGATATCGTGAGTGAGTGAGTGATCTTGCGACGGAGCAGAGGCCGGGGTTCGTTACAAATGTCTGAAATATGTTTATGTGTGCTGTGACTCATATCAGTAGGTCTGTAACGTATGTGTCATTAGGTCTATATATTATGTGTTTTCCCCTACATTTGTAACGAACCCCTGTTAATCAGTGCAGTGTAACAGACAATGTTTCTAATAAATTGCATGAGTGTTAAAATTGTTTCCATTGCCGGCATTGGTGATTTCAACCGATGTGCTTTTTTTACGATATTGCAGACAGACATTGGTCCCGTTTTTGTTGTAATAAAAGTATTTTTATTTCTTTTTTTCTTTTTTGCACATAAATTTACAATGGCATTGTCAAGTCTCACATTGCCCAGCGATATTTCAGCAGCCATCATGTTTATTTACATTGGATATTGTATTTCCGGTCAGTGTTGTAATTAATACGCTAAGAATTGTGTCTCGTGCGGCATAGTAATTAATGTCCCATCAACGACACAGCTTTCAAAGAGGCTATATATAGGGAGATATAAGCCAGGTCGTATAGGACTAATAGTAAGCGCCTGATAAGGCAGCTACTGCGAATTCCTCAAAAAATGTATTAATTTATATATATGAAAATTATATTCAATGTATATCTATGTACTGTAAAGCGCTTTAGAGTGGCTTATGTTAGCTAGATAGTGCGCTATATCAAATGCTGTATATTATTATTGTTATTATTATTACAAGCTAACCGGTAATAAGACTTATAAATATATTTTAAATGTCGCTGTGACTATTCTCCATAATTATGCTTATTGAAGATTTAAAAGAAACTGTGGTTAGGTATACATGTAGCAAACACTAGTAAAAGCAAGTTTTTTTTTATAAAAGCACTGGATAAAGTCTTGAGTGTAATCAGCCCAACAGAACTCAAAATATAAGTAGTGCATTTTATAAACTGATTTTCTATTCATATAGTAACATTGATAGAGACCTAACCCCCGGTTAGCAAATATGACCTTGGCCTTGACCTTTGATCCCTGAAATACAAAGATGTTCGAAGTATACCCAAACTTGACCTTTGTATAAAGTTTGACCAAAAACTGTCAATAAATGAAGTTGCTAAGTGTTTACATTGAATCAGGATGCAACGCGACGAGACGGGACGCCGAACGCCGCACCAGGCCAAAAGATAAAAACAGATAGAAAGACAGACAGACGTAAAATCTGAAAATCTGATTACTGGAAAACTTAAATGTGATTGCCGCCGCCAACGACAACGTGTAATGACGGACAGACTAATCCTTAAGTGTTCGCCATGCTTCTCAGGCGGCACGACCAAGGAAAGGCAGTACAGTGAATAAAGAAAGGAAAGAATAAAGATCCCAAGTGTGTTGCAATGGGGGCAGAAGATCTATTTTGGTCTGTTCAATGTCCCACAAGTGGTAGACATGAAAGAAAATCCCCGATTCTTCGGGGGCCCAACTTTTAGCCCCCCCCCCCCCCCATGTACATTGTATGTAAATATTATGTTTAGACAGATTTTGACAGATTCGATGACTCAAGTAGAAAATTTTTTGAACCATGTAATCTTGAAAAAGAAAGTAAAGGGACATAACTCTTTATGTAGACTCCAATTTAAGTAATTTGTGCTGATCTGACAGATCTGTCAATTCAAGATCTATCTGTACACCAAATTCAAGAAGAATTACAAATCATTATATGTTTCGCATGCCTGAAATTGTCTGACATTGTCAGTATGGTAAGTTTTAAGCAAAACTTCAAAACTATCTAAAATTTCTGGATATTTTTTTCCAAAAACAACGGGAAGAAAATATACATTTTAAAGAAAGTGGTAGCTATGGGAGCACCCTATATATGTTATTAACATAAAAATATTGGTATCTTGCAAAACAATAAGCAAATTTCGCAAAACCATCCATTCTCAAAAATCACCTAAACATGACATATTTTATCTAAAAGGAAACTTTTTGTAACTTTCAGCTTTCTTAAAGCGAATTTTGTACATTTTTAAATATCTCCCATTCTCATCAGATGTATATGAAGTGCATAACAAATGGAAAAAAATAATAAAATGAATGATAAACTGCCAGAATAAGATGGATAGGAAAGCAAGCAAAGGGGCAAATAATTTTGGCTACTTCAACTTCTGACAGGTCAATGACCCTTGATGAGACTTATTTAGCTGTCAAAAGTCAGACCAAAAAATACTGCAGTACAATTTTATGTCAACTTATGTATTAGTGGATTTGAACACCACTGTAAATATGAATGTTGAACAGAAATATTTTAACATATATCTTTTTTACAATCCTTTTGATAACAGATTTAGGGAATGAAGCGTTTAAATGTTGTTTGTTGATGTTTAGTGGATCGCAGAGATACATGTATAACATGTTTTTTAAATACAGTATTCTAAAAGATATGATTAAGGTTGTAGACTCTTTTCGGTTATCAGCATCTTGTGAGGAGACTCCATGTATTGTAGCAGAAAAATGTCAACAAATAATATGAAGTGTACTGCAGTTGATATAGAAAGTTCAATTCCTGCTATATATTTGTAGTAAAGTTGTCAAAGAATCAGATATTTGGCAGACCTTTCTTATACATATGACTTAAAAGTGGTTGCAAGGATTTATAAAACCCAAAAAACAAACCGATTTCTATCACTCATACAGAGAACAGTGTGGAAATATAGATGAACTGAAGGTATTGAAAATAACGTCAGGTATTTCAGGTAAAATGGACTGCCATCATGATTTTACATATTCATAATGTGTTTATACAGCCTCCCTTAAGAAAAACACATTCCATACATGTTTTCAGCCTGTTTTTGTTGTCATTATCTGTCCAGCCTGTAACATCTCATCTTTGCTAGCCAAGCGTTCATTTTGGATTCACATATTCATGTATTCAACCTTAGCGGATTTAGCCTTGTTCTCTAAGCTTTTAAATTATTGAACCTGGCACAGGGACTTGGTACGAATTACCATCCTATGGTCCACATATTTTTTTTTATATCATACATTATATAATACACATATGTGAACTGAGGGTTAGAAATTAATACCAAGTCCCTGTACATGTAAATAATAATGGCGGCGCCCAGTACCAAGTTGCCTTGTCGACTATGTCATGATTTATGTAAAATTACCAAAGAAGGACAATACTAAAAGAAACATTTTCTGTATATGAAATTTATTTTGACATAAAGATCTTATTTATTTGGATAATTTCATGGAAATGATGACTTGTTGTTTTAAACCAATGATTTGTTAAGTTCATCTTGTATGCACTGTATGAATGCTATTATTATAACATTGTACCCATATGAATCCATGATTGTCGTGGAGTGGTGCTTTATTTGAATTTAATACATTTGATGCTCTTTTACCTGACCTGGAACGCATTCCTAGCCATACCGATACAAATACAGTACTGTGGTATAACTGTATATATTATATTGTGTACATAGTTAAAGCGTCTGCGAGACCAGCTGTTCTACCTTACAAACTTCAAGGTGACGAGAAAGAACATGAGAGGAATGTTTTTGACTTTTGACAGGATCTGTAGGCAATTCACATTTTTCAATTTGTAATATTCTTTTTTTTTGGATAACGACGC